CGGCCTAACCCCTTGCCATATGGGGAGGGGGGGAGGGCGTTTGGCTTTAATGTTTCCCTAGGGGGGGACCTGGGTTCCAGGTGGCGCTTTCGGGGCTCGGGGTCCTTTTTCGACCTTGATGCGGCGGGACTGACGGGGAGCCCCCCGGAGTGCATGGAGGCCGCGGCAGAGGCCCACGCGGCGTGCTCCCGCGCGGGTTGCTGACACCCCCCACCGTTGCAGGCCGCCGCCGAACTCGCGGCGTACTTTTCCCCGCTGCGGAGGCACGGCGAGGTCGAGGTGATGTACACCGACTCGAGGCGCCTCCTCCTCCGCCCTCCGCCCCGCCCCGCCCCGCCCACGAAAGCGAGTCACCCCCCCCCCTCCACAGCCCGCGCGCTCTCCCACGCGGATCTCTGCGCCCGTCTCCAGGCACGTCGCCAAGCGCGGAGGGCGCGTCGGCCAGCTCAAGGACGGCAAGAAGATTGGCCTGCTCACCGCCCACCCCGAGCGCGCTGCCCTGCTCGCCCGCGAGGCGCAGGACGAGCAGGGCTGGCCGGTGTGAGAGAGCTGTTGTAGAGAGAGGAGCTCAAGACAGCCTTCTGGATTTGCTCGTGCGCGAGCAGAATGCACAGGATCCCATGATACACACACACATCATTTATCAGGAAAAACAATCAGACATAACACGCTCTCAGCTACTTATCTCGAAGCGGCACGTCGGACAAGTCCTTGCGCCAGACAACCACTTAGCTCCGCACCTCCAGTGCGCTGTGTGCGCACACGGCATGCGCACGATCTCGTCGCCCGGCGCATATCCGTCCAAGCAGATTGGACAGGGCCCACGCTCCATCGAGTTGGTGGCGAGCACCTCCCTCGGCAGCGCAGCCAGGACCTCGGCGGCGAGCCCCCTATTACATGCCGCGGGCGCGGGATCGCGCTCGTCGTCGCCACGCGAGCTCAAAAACCTCAGCGCCCTCGTGTCGAACTCGGTAACCGCCGCGTGTCGCTGCTCGAAGCCGGCCAGCACCTCGTCGCCAATGCGTGCGAGTATCTGCCAGAGCGCCGTGGCTTGCGTGTACGGCTCGTGGCGCCGCGGCAGGGACGACGACGACCGGCCACTCTGGCTCCTGCCCGAGTCGTGCGCGACGACCTCGCCGCGCATTTTCCGGTGGCGTCGGATCGCCGGCGCTTTGTCAGGGTTCCGGCTCCTACGCAGATAGGGGGTCTTGCGCTATGACTCGCACCAAAACGCCCTACCTACCTACCTATTGCGGGCGCCAATCGCCAGGCTCCGTGCCCCACCAGGCCGCGCAGCGAAGCGAAAAAATACCCGTTAGCCCTCTGTGAATAGGCTCCCACGCGCCGGCTTGTACCGCGGTGCGCGCCGCTCGCGAGCCCGCCAGAGCATGGCCTACTGGGCTCTCGAGGCGTTGGACGGCTCCAAAACGGCACTCTCTTCCCTCGACAGAGTCGAGGGCACGGACCCTCCCGCCTACAAGCCCACCACCACCACCTACCTACCTATTGCGGGGCCCTCTGGGGCGGTCAAAAGTAATATATCTTTACTTCCAACACCCGGACGTTCCCAGGGTGATGGAAGGTTCGACGCACCCCCGGACTGGGCAGAGAGATCCCAGGGCATCTGGCCTGGGCTGTCCACCCCGCCCCCACTTGCCCTGACTACACAGGATAGCGTGCCCCGACAAACGGCGACACATAGCGGGGGACACTGCGCCGGGGGGTATGCCTAACTTTGGTGCTTTGTGTGGGTCACGTTCCCATGGTAGTTGTGTGGCTGAAGCCCTCGTGCCGCTGGCTTGCCCCTTCCAGCGGCTGGCCCCTCGAGACTGTCGGTGCTTGGCGGGAGGAGGGGGAGAGGGAGGCCGGGAGGAGAGGGAGAGGGAGGCCCGGTGGGAGGGGAGGGAGAGGGAGGCCGCCTTGGGCTCTTCTCCTCCCCCCTCCCTGGGCTCTTCTCCTCTCCCCACCCTGGGCTCTTCTCCCCTCCTCCCTGGTACTCTCGGCCTGATTACCGGAGCGACTGCCGGAGCAGACGCTCAGACGCTGGGGGGACACTCGCGCCCGGAGGCGGTACGCACGACCCGGAGGCGTGGGGATGGGGGGGGGCCGCGCCGCCGCCGCCGTGCCGCTTTCTCCCGCTTTGACCTCCCCCAGCTGCTTCTCTCCTCAAATCAACCTGTGAGCTTGCGAGGCGGCGGGGGTGGAGGCACTGCGCGAATGAAATCGAAACCCCAAGAAGAAATCACTCGAGGTGCGAAGCTTGCTTTTCTTCTTTAGGCTGACTCGGGGTACGGTCGGAGCAGGGCCTGCCCTCTGCCTGCGGACCGGAAGGTCGTGGCTGCGTCGCGAAGAAAAACAAACCATTGATTAGGACGCGCGCAGGGGTTTTTCTTTTCTTCTTACGCCGGGACAGCTACGCCCCTGCTCTGGCGGCGCCTGCCGCGCTGAGGGATGCAGATCTCTCGCGACCAGCTCCAGCAGCTGATCCAGCTGAGCGTGCAGCACCCGCCGGCGCAGAACCCACGCCAAGCAGGCGCTCGTCGACGACCGGCGTTGTTTTTTGAAAAAAACGAGGCGCAGTCACGCAGAGAGAATTGGGGGGGGGCAAGGCAACGCGAATCGGAAATGCGGGGGGAGAGTGGGAGAGAGCCGTTGCCGTCTACCACAAGAGAGAGAGAGAGAGAGAGAGAGATCACATTATGTTGTTTGTGAGATCACTGTGAGTGTAAAATTTCTTGTTGGTTGTGAAAAAACTCTCTCACACATCACACGTCACAAAGAGGAATCAGGCGCCCGCCGCCATGGTGCATGGACGCCATGGGGCCTAGACTCGGACGAGTGTGGGTACCGCGCCGACCGAAGGGAGGCACTGCGCGAATGAAATCGAAACCCCAAGAAGAAATCACTCGAGGTGCGAAGCTTGCTTTTCTTCTTTAGGCTGACTCGGGGTACGGTCGGAGCAGGGCCTGCCCTCTGCCTGCGGACCGGAAGGTCGTGGCTGCGTCGCGAAGAAAAACAAACCATTGATTAGGACGCGCCCAGGGGTTTTTCTTTTCTTCTTACGCCGGGACAGCTACGCCCCTGCTCTGGCGGCGCCTGCCGCGCTGAGGGATGCAGATCTCTCGCGACCAGCTCCAGCAGCTGATCCAGCTGAGCGTGCAGCACCCGCCGGCGCAGAAGCAGGCCATGCTGCAGGCGCTCGTCGACGCGGTGGAGGGCGGAGGCTCCGCCTTTGCTGCGCTCGCAGGCACGGGCAAAACCTCTCTGCGAGCATGCTCTGTAGCACTGAACACGCTCCGAGCGCGCGCGAGGCCCGATCGCGCCGCCCAGTCACGCGGCGCGCCTTCTTCGCGCAGGCACGCCGCTGCAGCCGCTCGCCTCTGCGCTGAGGGTGCAGGCAGGCTGCCTCGTCGTCCCCGACGCGGCCTTCACGCAGGAGGGCCTGCGGAGCTGCCTGGTGGACGCGGCGGCAGGGGTTGCCGCCGAGGAGGACCCGCTGCCTCTCGCCGACGCCACTGAAGGTGTGCGCCACCCGGCCCGCGCACCTCCGGCTCGCCACCGCGCTGACCACCGCCGCCCGCGCCGCCGCAGCGCTGCTCGTGGAGCAGAGCGCGCCGATGGAGGCGATGCAGCTGCGGCACGCGCTCGAGATGCTGCTGACCGTGGGCGAGGGGACCCAGATCAGCGCGGTGGTCCACATGCTCCTCCAGCTCGCCCAGCTCGACGGCGCGCTCTGGAGGAGAGGCCTCTGCTCTCCGCGACAAGAGCCCGAACTTGCTCCGGACCTGCCATAGGGCCGCTGCGGATGCACGGCGGGCCTCCGAGCTACGGCGACCTAAATAACTTCCACCAGCACCTCAACGTGCTCTCGAACCAGCTCAACGTGCTGCACGAGCAGTCGGGTCTCGGCGGCTACCTGCAGAGCCCCTTCTTCTCGCGCTCAAAGTTTGAGCTCTTTGCGTTGCAGCACGTGCAGCTCATGGCGCGCCGCCGCCGCGCCGGCCGCGCCTCGCCCGCGCCGGCGTCCGACCCTCGTCCGCCCTTCCGCCCCCTTCCGCGCAGGTGTGGCTGCAGCGGGTCCAGCAGGGGGCGGCGCAGGCCGCTGGGAAGGCCGGGCCCGACCTGCAGCAGTTCCTGCTCCAGATTGCGCACGCCGCACGCGTGCTCTTCTTCCAGCCGCTGCTGCTGCACGCGGCGCAGGTGGCGCAGTACGTGCGCAGCGTCGGCGCCGTCGGCAGCGTGGAGCCGGCCGACTCGATGCAGCAGGCGATGCAGTACCCGAGCGACAGCGCGTCGGACGCCGAGCGGGTGGAGTGGCTGCACCTCAACCTGCTGATCCAGTTCCAGTCGCTTTACCGCGACGTCCTCTGCAACGCGGCCGTCTTTGAGCTGCACTACTCGAACGCGGAGGCGGGCCTCTTCCAGGTCGGCCGGCCTCGCACAGCCTCTCGCACCGCCACGCCCGCGCCGCACCCACGAGGCCCAAGCCGCTGGAGCCTCGCCCGGCCGGCGCACTGCCCGAGCGCTCTCCCGCGGTCGCCGCAGCCACCCGCAGCCACCCGCCCACCCTGACGCACGCCCGCCGCGCCTCGCAGGCCTTTTCGCGGCTCGAGGAGATCTACACGCACCTCATCGGCCGGTTTCCCGCGTCGTGCCCGCTCAGCGAGCAAGAGCAGGGCGTGCTCACGCAGCTGTGCCAAAAGGTCGTCAAGTACTTCCAGGATGGCAAACAGATCAAGGCGGTGCTCGAGCAGAACCCGTCGCAGGGCAAG